GGGTTAGCATCGGAAAAAAAGTTATCAATTTTTCGTTTACAACTTTAAATTGTTTTTGTTTTACTCTCTCTCGCGAGCTATATAAGTGGCTCTCCGGTATAATAAAATGGGCTTTCGAAAAATGCCGTTATTTCAAATAGTGTAGCACCCTTGTGATACCCGATACGTATTTACAATTCTCGAAATCACCTCGTGGAAATGTATATACAAACGAATCAATTAGCAATCGAACGCAGAGCGCGAAATATGACATTTTCATCGTTGAAATGTACGTAACAACGTAATACATTTCACTCTGTCAATTTTTTACAGCGGCTGAAAGTAATTTTATTTCTTTCCTCTTTATTAAAGAGCCTACACTCGATGTATATAACTCGACCGAATACATCCTCGACTTCTCGTTTTGATCGATCGAACCACATAAAAAAGTGTACGGTATAGACGCGAAGACTCGAGGTTGGCGAGCGGGGCAATTATCTATATATAATGGACTAATTACTAACGATAAATCACTCCGCGGTCTATTATGATTCATATTTCATTGATTGTACCACCCATGCATGTACGATATTTTAACGTGTAATGTCAAAAAAATAGCCAATTGCAAATTTGATTTCATGCGCGAGACTTTCGAGAACGAAAATGTGTAATCGACAATGTACAAAAGTTTCTCATTTCGTGCGTCGCCGAGCAGCGCCAACTTGCCATTTTAATCTATTCGACGTTCAAATATCAGGAACGTTTGAAAGTAAAACATAAAATAGCAGCGCAGTTTCGGAGTTTACCTCCCCCCCGTAAACTTTCCTCGCGAAACGTTAAGAAAATCGCCCCTGGCCCAAGGTAATACGACAAAGTACAAGCGAATTAGCCCGGCGTACAGAAATTAACTTATATACATACGTCATATCATTTGAATTTCAAAACCATCAAATTTTCAACCTCCTTTTTTACGCTCTACATATATACATTCTATTTCTCATCAAAGAAAAAGGCTCTCCGCCCGTCTGTCAGTCTATCTCTCTCGAGTATCACACTCTTCTCTCTGCTTCACGCGCGCGCGCGAAAAATCAACAAAATAAAAAAGTATAACGAGCACTAATTGGATTGCATAAAGAGAAACACTTGGCTGGCGGAGCATGGGTAGGTAGGTAGGTAGGTAGTATAGTAGCAGTAGCCCAGCGTGTTGCAGCCGCCGTAAGTCGGTAAGAGTATATATACATACACACGTTTTAACACTTGAATTAAACTGTGAAACATGTTTATTCATTATATTACGCTCATGGAGCATGAATATGGTAAAACTCAAACGCGCCTCGAAGCTCGTCGCGTAGCCGGGATTTTGATGTTTTAAAGAGCCACGCAAAAAATGCGAAATACTTTTACTGTAGTTATTTGCGCGCACCTATCGCATTAACGAAAGAAGAAAAAAGTTTGCGATTAGCTGTATTTTATGAAGCATCGATTCGGAGGTGGGGTGGAGAGGATTAAACGCGAATTTCAGCGACGAAACAATTTTAAACGATAATATACTTGTATAAAATTGTTTGTACGCGCGTCCGTGCGAGCTGATTCACAAAGTTTCTTAATTTCATATTTATAATCGCCACGTACGACGATGAAATTAGGCTAATTGATCGTTTCCCTTATTTTTTTTTTTTTATTTTTCCCCATTTATTACACGGTTGATTTTTCCCCTCTTGCGAGCGAAACGTCGCATCCTTAAAATTTAAGATATTAAGAAAAATACGGTCGGAGCTTTGGCGATTCTCGACACACGATCGATTGTATAACCGTTATACGAAACGCTCTTACTTGATATAAACATAAAGTATATAGGTGCGCGTATAGTCGCGCACCCTTGCCCATAATAATAACGCATCGTCTCCTTCTTCTTCTTCTTCTTAACGTGTGCAGTGCAGCTTGACACCACTCGTATATAAGATGGTAATAGCGTCTTGTGTTTTTTCTTCCTTTTTTTTCTTTCCTTTTTTTTTTTTTTTTTTAAGAGAGACTAGCGATATATACGTCATCAGCGAGCTGCGCACGCGTCGTTAGCTTTTTTTTTTAACAAACCGATCACGAGTCACTGTACCACGCCTCAGCTTCATCCGGAGGATATCCCATGCTTTACATTTTATAACTTTTTACGTATACTCGTTTTAAACTGTACATCCAATCTCGAGCATTTTTAAACGCAAAATAATAAATTCCCTCGCTCTCGGCATCTTGCATAATCTTCCATGGACGTCATGAATGATAACGGAAATTGAGTTCAATTTGCGAATAATGAACCGTCGCGTTGCGCGCGCGCGTCCCCCGAACAGTTTATATAACAAATAATAATTGCTACCGAGAGATTATTCGCTATTATGTCAACGCCGAATGTTGACTTAGATCCCACCACCACCGGCATGAAATGACGTTTGTTTTTTGAGAAAATATAAATTTTACATTCTCCCCTTGGGTACATTTTTATAACGTTACCACACGGGGGTAGAGAAATCTACAAACTATATACGGCGCGCTAAAAGTGCTGCAGGTTTCCCTTTTAAATCAATATCATTTAGATTTGCTCGCTGTTAAACGCGCAGAGACCCACGGACCGGCACAGACGCGCGGCTGATAAAATTTTAATTTTATTCTCTCGTAAAAAATTAGATTTTATAATTAAATGGTCATGTAACTGCGTCAGAGGAGGGATGCACTTTTTCCATTATCCCCCCGTAACAGCGTATTATTTCAAAAAGATTGTAATTTTCAATTTTTTTGTTGTTTTTTTTTGTTCGTGCCTTTTTCTTTCAAACGCCTGTCCAGGCAAATTTCATTTGCATGTTTTTACACTTAATGCAATATTAGGTATCAACTCCTCCACGGCGTAAAAGTTTTACGCAAGCGTAAAAATTTAATCTACTAAAAAATACACTCGCTCTGGCCGGTGCTGCTGCTGCTGCGGCTGCCTCGCGTTCCGTTGTGCATATTCTTAAAACTTTTCTACGACCAAAAAAAAATAAACGTACGTATAAACGAACGAATCTCGTTTTTTATCCAATTCGCATTGCGGCGTTAAGTGATGAGAAAAAACACGATTGGCTTAAAAATTTCACGCGCCCGGAGATTTTAATGGGCATCTGCTCGGTATATGTAATTAGTGACATACCGTCAAGTTCGGTTACTCCTGTACCCGGGGATACTAATAGTCTCTCTCTCTCTCTCTCTCCCGAAAGCTGCTTTATACTAATACACACAACAGCAGCAGCAGCAACAGCAGCAGGACTAAAATAATTGTTCGAGCGTGTTCGAGCGTTACCAGCTCTAACGTTTTAATCGCTTCAATTCTGGAATTACAAATATTATCAAAGAGCTTACGATGTTATGCGAATAGCGAGAGGAGAGACCATATTTTCTCATATTATAAATGATCTCTCTCGCGGTATAAAGCCGACGTTATGTATCCCCCATAGCTATCGGTTCGATGCCCCGAACTCTTCCCCCATCCAGTTTAACAAGCTTATAAGAGTATAAAAAAAAAAAAAAATAACGATATTTATGGCGAATAAATAGCGAAGGTAAATATTTGGGTAGCGATCATTTTTTTTTTTTTTAATAAACAAAACGACGCGATTCCGACATCATCGAGTGGGAACAATTTGTAAATATAACGTTGAATCATATGTGTCAAAAACATCGAGCGCGCCAATGAGCTGTCGCGCTGCGTCTATAATTCATGCAAACGGAAGAAAATATTGATGTACGCGCGCCGAGGATAATACGAAGGAATAATAAGCCGATACTACTCATCCACCTTGTAAACGCGGGAAGCTGTCGTAAACGATATCATTAGCAAACCCGTTAAGTACCTTTGATAAATAGTTTAATGGATCTCGTTGGCAGGTGAATATTTACGATTATTACGCGAGCGATTTTCTTTTTCTTTTTTTTGTTTTACGAGCGCAAAGACGCGTATATACACCCGAGAGGCTCGCAAAGCTGCAAATTCAAACTAACTCATCCAATAATTAACTATAATTCCACTTATGTGTCCAATACTCTCGCGCGCGACAAAGAGCTGATGCTAATGGCTTTAGTTTTGGTATGTAGCCTCTCATATACGCAGCGGCGGTTCTTCATTACTTACACGTACGAGCTCCTGCCTCGATGTTGCCGCCGTTGCTACACGTCTCGCATCTTCAACTTAGACGTCCTCGAGGACTAGTAATCAGTCTCGCAGCGCATAAAATATGTTTTGAATACCTTCTAATAACCCCGTCGCGTTTGCGAATCGCTTATTTGCGCATATATACTACACGGTCGAGAAAATAAACCCGATATATTTTTTCCGTTTGTTTGCGAAGAGTTCACCGAAAAATCTATTATACCGCCGCGCGCGTTAAAGTTTTTATGTAATTGCTCTCTCGCATACGCGCGTACACGAATCTTCGTTATCCATTTTTTTCAAAGTTGCCGATGTCCAATTCATTTGAATGCTACTCCGAGTGGGGGGCGCGCGCAATTGTTAGCGACTTACACCCAGCTAACAGCAGCAGGCAGCATCGACTCGGATTAATTGGAGCGTTTTTACGATGTATAACATTTGATCGTTGCCGTACTGCCCCGGCGTGTGCCCCTTCAATTACTGATACATCCGTATACACACGTATCGATTTTCCTTCCTTTTGCGTGCTGCCGCTGCTGCTTTTTTAAAATTCATCGTTGTTATATATATAAATGGTATAAAATTACTCGCTCGTGCGCGCGCGCTCTTATACTCGAAGCCGCGCGCGATTCATACCGATTTAACTACTAACACTCGACGCGCGGGCCGTTTAATTATAATCATATTTCCAATAATTGTTAGATGTATTATTCTCGAATCAATCCCCAATTTAATAGAGCTTACGAATTAAAATTACTGATTCGCGATTGACATTAACCGATTTTAATCAACAAAATTACGTTGCATCGATACGTAATGGTGATCGAACGATTTTATATTTTTGCAGATAAAAATCCCCACGCACGATGCAATCAATACGGAAGAGCTGATCGGTCATCTTCATCATGGATGCCCTGGAGAAGAATGACAACGCCTCGTTGATGCAGCTGCAACCTCTGGAGCTGGCCACGAACAACGCGAGCTCGGCGTCGAATTATTTGTTGAATTACGATGTCACTGCCATTGTCTCAGCCTTCGTACTCCTCCTTATGATATTTACGACCGCTTTCGGTAAGAGAACGTATATATGATTCAATTTTTTTAACGCTGTTCTAATTCGCTAATTGTAAGTGTGTTTTTGGAATTATGACACTTTGCGAGAGAGAAAAAATCGCTCCAGAGGGCACACACGCGCGCACGCAAAAGGATATTATTAGATCTCACGAGCGAGTTAGCAACGCTATATAATTTCGCGTACGGAAAAGAGAAAAATTATTTCTCTCTCTCTCTCTCTCTGTTGAAATTTCGGTTTTTTACGGCCCCCGCGTGGTTATACGTGTATATAGCCAAACGCAGAAAGAGAAGAGAGAGAAAGAGAGAGAGAAAAAAATCTACTTTTACGGCCGTCTTGATAGACATGCCACTCCAATAGCTCTCCCACTCTTTACTCTGCCTCACTCTCTCTCTCTGTTTATTCGTGCGCTCGCGCGAGCTCGTGAGCAAACGCAACTACGCGCGTGGCATATTGCAATATGTTTGTATTCGTGCACTTGACGGGCAGAGCATCAGCAGCAGCAGGAGTAGTAGCGGTAGCGGCAACACTACTACCGCCGTTATGCCGCGCCCTTTTCTCTCTCTCTTACTCGCTCTCTCTGATATCTTAACATTTTAAATGCGTTGTTGTTACTCTCGCACACCCAAGAGTCGCTCGATCATACGTTTATATATATAGGCTCTCAACCGCGAAAGAAAGGCCAAAAAAAAAGAAGAAGAAAAAGAAATTAACCCTCGACGGGGAAAGTTAGACGCGATACGAAGTGTTGGCACTCTAGCATCGAAGTTTTCGCCGAGAGATAAATAGATAGAGAAGACGGAGTCGTGTGGCCCCTTTGAAGTATATCTATTAATCTATCGCGTCAAAGATTCAAGAGCCCAAAGAGGAGGTGGAGCAGGAGGAGGATGTCCCTTTTCGAAGTTCGGCTACGCTAATCACCATAGTTTAACTTATTAATATTATCCAAACTCGTGAGTGTGTTACTGAAATAGCGATCAGCAGCAGCAGCTCTCTTGGCAAGTGATCGAGAGTAACTTACATAGATGCACTATACATGCAAGATCTTGAAGAAGTGGCAATAAATATAAAACGATCGTTCCCTTTTATGGGGCAAAATATTTTTAGTCGTAGAGAACCTTCGGTGTGCAATCGCGAAATAAAAGTTTTATAAAATTTCGCCTTTATAATCCATCGATTAAAAGGTACAAAACAAAATATACCCCCTCCGTAGTCAGAGAGAGAGTAAAATAAGCGGACTCGGAAAAACACGTTGTAAAAATATAATATATATAAAATGTACATACTTTGTGTGTAACACCGACTTGTCACGCTAATCTAATTTTTTTCAAAGTCTCTATATCCTCGACGACGCGACCGAGAGACAGAGAGAGAGCAGAGCAGAGCGGAGCAGAGCACATAGAGCTAATCGATACGCTTACCCCGTTCTCGACTTAAGTAATGTACGTGCGGTGTGTGTCTATGTGTGCCACGTGTGTGTGTGTGTGTGTGTGTGCCTAGAGCTCTGCTGCAGCGCGCCTTTATCGCTTGGGATTCATAAAGCAGACACGGAGGCTCTCTCGTCGAGGATGAGAATACGTGTACGCGTAGGTATGGCTGGAAAAACGAGCATAAATTAAGGGGCGCAAAAAAATTGGCCCACGCGGCTCTCTAACTCCATTGTTTAGCGATTAGTACGAAAAAAAGAAATCGTTATTAGGCCTGTTATCGAGTACCGAGTAACTTCCGTATCATCGTAAGCTTTCTCGATGCTCGAGGAGAGCTCTGGATTTTTCTCTCCATATATTATCGAATTTCGGGTTCGATCGAGCACTTCGGGGTACATAACGCTTTATCGTTATCTCGGTGGGCTACTCCTCTAATCAATTTAGCTCTTACAATTCCACTCGGCGATAAATCAGCGACTAATCTCCACCAAATTCACCCCCAGCGATCCAACTTCTGACGATGATTTTCTGCGAACGCGAGTGCCTTGTTAGCGTACGTACGTATTACGATGTCTCTGCTATCCTTCGATATGGGGCGTGTGTGTGTGTGCGTGTCTGCGTTTTCCGTTCGTTTGCGCGATCTTCGCTTCCGAGCTCGTATAGTATAAGGGTTTTTAAGCGAGAATATATCCCTCGCACCTCATCGATCTTGCGCTACTCGATAAACCTGTGTTTACCACTTTGCCGCCAGACCGCAGACGCTTAGACTATCTGCTTCTTACTTTGAGGCTACGTAATATCGGTGGTGGTTCACATTTACGTATGTTCGTTGATTCGTTATTTGACTTCGATATAGTATAATATTAAATAAATTTTTGCAGGCACGAGTGGGCATTGTAAGTATTGTTCGTACCAGTGGTCAATGGTTATGATTTATCAATTATTTGAATTTTTAAAGTGTTCCTTTTGATCGTGTAACGTTGTCCACCGAACGAACGAATTTTTCATAATCATTCGATTCATTAATTTTTAATGATCGAGCATAAAAAAAATGATGTAAAAAAAGTGTTTTCTAATAAACAAACTTTCTCGTACGCGCTTGTGTGTCGACAGGCAACGGGTTTGTGATAGCAGCTATTTTCAAGGAACGCAACTTGCAATCAGTGGCAAATTACTTGATAGTTAGCCTGGCCGTAGCGGACCTCATGGTCGCATGCTTGGTAATGCCTTTAGGAGCCATTTACGAGGTGAGTCTCAAACGTTATTTTTGAAAATCAATATTTTCCAGTAATATACGAAATACATAAAAATACACGAAATAAAAAAGCATCAAAATCGGAGAAGAAGTGGCGATGGAAAATCTCCTCTGGCTGTACTCGGTGGTGGCGAGAGTCGAATCGACAACGATGAATCATTCGTTTCAATTTTTTCGATACTCCTTACGCAGAGATAAAAGTATATACTCTCTGTGTATATAGAGGCCAGCGGCGGCATGAGCTACATGTTAATCGCGTGTAACTCAATCTCGTGTAGCAGAGAGTTAAATTGTCTTTTGCCCACAAATCACGGCATCACCCACATGTGCCGAGGCATTAACGGCTTAGATAGAAAACGTAAATAACCATATCATCGATCGGCTGCAGGACCTCAATCGTGTACACACACACACACACACTCACGCGGGCAATATTTAACAGAAAATCAAACTCGCTCGTGGGCAAAAAGTATCAACTCTATAAATTGATAAAAAAAATAAGTAGCTTTTGGAAATTTATTCAGAAAAATAGGAAAATCAAAATAAAGCGAAATACCGTAATCCTTTTTTACACTAAAAGTTTCGATATCGATGATGATACGGCGCAAAAAATCTTTTGAACGACACAGCGCAGCGAGTGGTGGTTGGTGTTGTTTTTTTATTTTTATTTTTACTTTTTTTTATTGCCGTGGGAACACAAACAAAAGTCGTGTGCGCGAGCGTATACACCCCCGCCCCATGCGTACCATATATATACCGCGCGCGCGGCCCGTTCGCTGCAGTAGGAGATAATCTCTTAGTGCACTCTCTATTTAAAAGAAAGACAATAGATAAAATATAAAGCGAACAATCGAGCATAAAGCTATGTTAACTTTTGTAATCATTCATCGCCGAGATTTTTATAGCAAATGAAGCGCCCGATCGCTACCCCGCGCCGAATCAAAGGCGCCTTTTTATGCGTGTTTACATTCATTCGCGCGACTGTTTCTATTGTTGTTGTTGTTGTTGTTGTTGTTGTTTTTGTTGCTGTTGTGGTTGAAACCAAAAACTTTGTCGCTAAATTAAACGCGATTTTTTCAATACCGAGCTTAAGTTTTTTTATGTCGCATCAATAAAATGAATTTAAATTCAAGAATTTACTATGAGCATTTATATTTCGTTTAGACTGTAACGCAAACTCTTTGACAAGTACTTAAAATATATGGCTTGAATTTTCTTGTTTACCGCAATATGTCGGAGAAATTAATTTCGCGCTCTTTATGAACGATCGCGTGCGTGAAAATTGATCGAGTCGTGTATCGCGTATTTCATATTCTTTATCAAAACATTCGGATTAATATTCATTCATTCAAGAATTATTGTTTTTTTTTTAAATCACCCGTGGAACCAACTATTTGTGTATCAGAATTTAAAACGGCAAACGAATCTTATTCATCGTTATTTTATTCAATTTTGAATCCCCCTCCATTCTATTGCCAGAAGATTTAAAATTCGATAAAAACTGCTCATACGACTGAAATAAATGAAAAACGAAGCCAGTTTCAACAAAAAAAAGAATTGCGTGAGCTCTTTGCCGTGGCTATTCGCATGAGCATAAAAAATATAACAGAAAAAAAAGAAATCGCAAGCAACAATTCAATTTTTCCACATTATTTATCCTCAGAAATTTATATCAACATAAAATTGAGAAAGTTATTGTGCGTTCAATTTCAGAACTGTCAGACAGAGAGTAGTCCGAGATCAAGTTTTCGGATCACCCATAAAAAAAAACTCCCATGGTACAACGCAGTTGATTAATTGGGCGGGTAGTAGCGTAAATCTAGCAATATAAATAATTATATTGCTAGATAAAAAGTAAAAGATTCATTTCGAAGTGATAAATTGTACGGATAAAGAGGGAGAGAGTGAGAGACGGATAGAAATAAAGAAGAAGTGGGGGGAGAGGGATGGAGAAAAAACAGATAGCGAAGAAAAGGGGAGGGAGAGGCATAGCAAAGCTTGTCGTGCAAAAAAGTGAAACGCGACTTTCGTTGAATTTTGCTACTTTAGTCGTTACCATTACACCGATTCTGACAATAGGGCGCACACCGGAATAAGTCAGATATTTCATGGCACGAAATTGTGTACACTGCAAGATACGGAAAGAAAAAGATTTTTATATTTTTATTCCCTAAATAATGTAGCTCGATATATTTAATGCAATAATATAAATTTACATACGCTCGAAAATTCAAAGTGAGATTGCGCGTACCCTTTATTTATAATATTCCAAAATTACGAAATACTTTTATCGAGAGTAAAGATAGCGTATCAAGGAAAGAGGCTACGAATGAGCTTGATGTATGACTACTTGAAAGTCCATTCTTGGTATTAAACTCTTCTTTCCCTCGTCTTTCTTCTCTCTCGTCTTTAGTTGATTTGTAATATTTACGCTCGTGTTATACGCTCGTGTGGAGTATTTTTTTTTTCAAAAGAAAAATTTTCAAACAATTACTCATTTTTTATGCATTAAAGATTCATCACTAAAATTCACCACCTGAATCTTTGTTATTTGCAGGAAAATATTTTAACGTTAAAATAATCATCAAAATGGGCTGTAGAAATATTTACAATGTAGATGCGATCTTACCATTACGTCATAATTGGCCGTACTAGAACTGCAAATTTCATAAACTGCAATATTGCGCCCTATAGCGGAGTCTTTCGATTGCTTTTCATTTAAAAAAAATGGCATCGTTGCCAGCGTGTAACTAGAAAGAAAAAAAAAATTCGTTTGAAAAATCGAACTACATAATTCATGACCCACAAACAAAGATAACATTTAAACAAAAGAGGTCTACTTCGCGAAATAAAAAATAAAAGGAGCGAAAGTTTAATCTCGAAACCCGTGCGAAAACGTTCTCGCCCATCCGATGTATTTTTCAAATTTCGTTTCTCGACCTACTGGCACTATTTTTAAGTTCGTATTTGTATTCGCGCGCTAATAGCTAATCTCGCGCGAGGGAATCTGCGAGCTTTTCTCGCGCCCGTTGCGAAGCTGCAACATCGTGTGCACCGCGTTTGGGAGGGGAACTAATTTTTACGTTGGGAGCAATTTATAAATCGCGAATATACCGGGTAAAGTTAACGTGTATGATTTTGATTTCAGCTTCACTGCGCTTGTGAATAAATATTTAGAAAATTTTTACGCGTTGACTTATACAACTTTGTTTTTATATTAAGGTGCGTGTCACCCAACGAGGAGTATTTTCATCACTTTATTGAATCCAAAAGTATTACCAATTACAAATTACAATTTTAATTTCTGTTATAAATTCAAAAATTGTAATTTGCTATAATAATTGCACAGTTACAATCACATCATCACTTATACAATTATTTTCTCTTTACCACTTGCAGATTTACTAATAAGAGACCTCGCCATCTAGTGGCGAAGTCAAGTAGTATTGTCGTATTTTAAGTAGTTGAAAACTAGTCCAAATCTTGTTAAACAATGCAAGTGTCACTTTCAGTTAATTTAAAATGCGCTCGATACTTGTAACTTAATTGTAACCCAAAAGTCGCCCAAAACAAGTCAATTACATTTTTAATGGTCATTTTTTGATTAATGAGCCATAATTAATCTTGAACATTGCTACCAGTGTTGTGACCCTGTAAAGATAATTAAGTCTCTATTGGCTTTTTGCTAATTAAATGAATTAACAAAAAAATTACAACGGTAAAATGATGATGAATATATTTATGCCTGCGCACCATGAATCATTTTATCCAACCGAAGCTGCTCGCAATAATACTTTTAACTACTCCATTTTATCTGACTCGTAGTACACTTTAACAGTGATTGAGGTGAGTAAGCTGGTAATCATATATAAAAAGTTAGTCCAAATTAGCTTGTAGCCCCAGAAGTTTCATTCTCTGCAGCCCCATCCCCGGCTCAATGAATGAAACGACTGAGTCCCTTTTTTGTCGCGCAGTAATACATACAGGTTGCGAAAGTCATGGTCGCTGCGTTAAACGAGAAAAAAAAAATACTCGCGATAATTTTTTAAATAAATTGCGTCTATATTTTCAACTCATTACCGTAAATACGATTCGTTCTCGTAGAAATAATTTCGAAATTCTAGCTGGAATTATTACTAATTTTCCTTCCTTCCTACACACATACGTACGTATGTAGAAGAGTCGAATGCGACAGATGATTTAATTGTCATGATGAAAACCATCTTTCCATCGACCTTCATAGCGATCCCCACATACTCAATAAGATGCCTCTATGACAATTAAGCATTGTCGAACTAGCTTTTCAATTCAACGTGCACGCCACAGCACTGCAGTGCCAGTGCTAGTACAGTGCGGGAGAAAGGCATTTCAATAATTTCGATATTTAAGCCCTTTCCGGCATTCGGGGTCTAAATCTCGGTACTTTCAACAATCAATTTTGAATCACTGAATTGCGAAGCTCTCTCTCCCCCCATACTGCTACTACTACCTACGTACTACTTCATAATCGTAATAATTCCAAACGCGCAATATTGCCCTTTATTTGATTTTAATAAATATGAAAATCTCTCCAACTCGCGTATACGAGAGCTCGACTATATTATATAACGATTAAATGAAAATCGCATTCAATTAACATCGGTGCGAATTGCATTTTGCGTACCTATACTACTACTACGTAGGGAAATAGAAAGAGAGAGAAACTGACATCCGGCAAATAGATCTTCCTCGTCGCAAGTCACATAAAACTTACGCAAAAGGAAATAAGAAAATTCTATTTGGGTGCGCGCGGGACGACTGCGTACATAAAGTGGAAGAGCTGCATGATAGCCCGGAAATAGCGTCCCGATGTACTCTTCCTGTCTCTTCTTTAACTTATTTACGGATCGATTAGAGTTTCATCGAGCAAGAGAGTGAGAGACCCGATCGAGATTATAAGGCTCGCGCGAGGGGGAGCATTTTACAATTCAGCGAGTCGTGTATTCGACGTAGCTGTTTAGCGACGACGCGCGTAAACAATCTCAATTAAAGTAGACGTACTGGAAATTATTAATTCGAGAATCAATTTTTCACGTACTTCATTAAAAGTACGCGTATACCCAACATTTCGTACCCCCCCGAATGTCGGGACATAATTAATCTTCATCTATTCCCGCGGCTAACTATGTTATTAGCCCCCGAATAAACGAATCTGTAACTAAGCCCCGGATACGATCCACCCGGATAACATACCCACGTTTATATTGTGATTATTTTTTGCCGTTAATTTCGTCGTTATACCTCTGATCCACTCTTATTCCGCTCACGTGGCTTTGGTTGACTGTTGCAGATAAACTCGGGATGGTCTCTGGGGCCGGAGCTGTGCGATATGTGGACCAGCAGCGACGTACTCTGCTGCACCGCCTCGATATTGCATTTGGTGGCTATTGCGGTCGACAGATATTGGGCAGTCACCGATCTGAATTATATACAGGTTAATTGATACGACCGCACAATGACGCATGTTTCTTTTTCTCTCTTTTTTGCTGCTGCTGCTGTTGTTGCACGTGCCCTTTGTTGCTTTTTCGCTGCTGGCTGAATTTTCTCGCGCTGGAACTCGCCGTCCGTGTAACGCGTTAAATAATATTCGCAGTTTTCGCGAAAATTCAACTCGTGTAAGTTGGCAAATAAAATATAAATTTTCACCCGTTGGTTCAAAACTACAGCAACGCGCCAAGCTCCGTGTGCATATATTTATCATTTACAAGTTTTTAAATGAATGCGTCGGTGGCGGCGGGCCCGCCTTACAACGCGCCAAACGTAGCGCAAGTTCGCGCGAGCGTAATGCACGTAATAAACGTAATAAAACTCGAGCTCGCAAGTTTCTCTGCTCGTGGATTCTTTTCTCGAGGCCTCGGCGTACAGAAGAAAATAAACTGAAGCACTTCGTTACATGGCGCTGAAAAAAAAAAACAAAACAAAACAAACAACGCGACGGACTTTAACGCGTTGAAGATCATAATTTTCGCAGTTAATTATTTATAGTTTGGAGAAAGTGCAAAACTCAATAACCCGCGTCGTTTGAGAGATGGTAATCCAATCGCGAAAGAGAAGACGTTTCGTTACATTGGATCGCCTTAAGTACATTACAACTGATACAGATTGAAATTAAATTCGACGTAAATTATTCATTTCTTATCTTATTCATTCAAAATACTCGCGAATAGATTCGTATAACGAAGCCAATAAATTAATTGGCAGTTTTGAAACAATCGACGAAAAAAGGGCGCGCGAAATCATCGAGTTCTTGAAAAAAAATTGACGGGTACACTCGATCAAATGGCACATTTTATTACGCGCGAATACAACGAGACAAAAAGTATATGCTCCGTATTATATAGAGAGGGAGAGATGTGTACATGCCTTTTGATTGCACTCGTCGCTTTCCCATCTCGTATATACATATACAGTAGTACGCAGCAGCAGCAGTACAGCATGAGACAGCGAGCGCGGCAACGAATAGATTGTCAGATTCATCACATAAAATTCAATTTCATCGAAATGATGTCAATTTTTTTTTTCTTCTTCTTCTTCTTTCCTCTTCCTTTGCACATACACGTCTACGTAGTCGTCGTCGTAGTCGTCTATTCGACGCGGATTCGCGCGCGCTCGCTAATTCCCTATCATCCGTATGCCATGCTGCAAATTGAAGAATTCGATCTAAATAATTTATGACAACTCATTAAAAAACAAATGTATACATCGAATAGTTCTTCGATACGAGTACCAATCTAAATACTGTTTTTTTTTTGCTCTTGTATCGTCGTCATCAGGCACGAAATCCTCGCAGAATCATATTTCTCATCGTGGCGGTGTGGGTGGTGGCGCTGGGCGTCTCGGTGGCGCCCCAGCTCGGCTGGAAGGATCCGGGCTACCTGGATCGCATCGCCGCCGGTCGCTGCCTCGTCTCCCAAGATCCTGCCTATCAAGTACGACGGATCATCGTCATTATAAAAAACATCAATAACACCCAGGAAATGAATGAATGACTTATGTTAAAAAAATTGTTCGCACATATAGATATTCGCCACCTGCGCGACGTTCTATCTGCCGCTGCTGGTCATACTCGTGCTCTACTGGAGGATATTCCAGGCGGCGAGGCGACGAATACGCAAGCGGCCCGGCACGATAATACAGCCGCAGCGCGAGCGTCACGGACTACTCAGGCTCGTGAAGAAAGGGTACGTATATACCGTGCGCTATATACATATACACTCGATGCTTATAATACCAAACTTTCTCCGCCCAAGTCTCGAAGTTTAAATCAGCTTAAGGATAGCATATTAACCTGCGTTACGATTAAATATAATACGTGATGCGGGTGGTAGTAGCGGTGGTGGTGGGCTCGAGCTCCGAGTATTTTTCCCTTTTCGATTTTAATCTTTAACCGAGGCTCTCATCCAGTTTACTTTCAATTATACGTTTTTGTCGTTGCAATAATACTCGTATACTTACGTATGCACGTTCGCACGTTTGTTTGTTGTAATCCTCGATTCAATTACAGCTATTACTTGTTTACTTAACGCTAATTATCGCGCGAATGTATACGCAAACTATACGCAAAGGATAAGGATTAGTTAGTCAACCGAGCGAAAAAGTTTTAAATTTACAAGGAAACAAAAAACAAACGTTATATATATCTCGTATCGCAAAATGATGTACCAGTATATTAGACCAGAGCTTTATTTATTTATTTTTTCTCCTTGTTTTTCATAAAAATTTGATCTATAGTCTCCAGAGTGGGAAACGATCTTTTCCATTCATCACGTAAAATTTTTCCCCAAAAAATATATAGTCCGCCGCGTTGCGTGCGCGCGCGCTCGAGTACTCCGGCGGCTTGTCCGGTTAAATAACGAAATTGCTTCGTGATATGTAACGCAGAGCAGTAGCAGCACCACCACCACCAGCAGAACAGCCTCTGTGTATCATATTATAAATTACGGCGTACTGCGCGCGAGCTATGTGCGACGTTAGCTGCAGAGAATAAGAGAAAATTTGATCAGCATTCGAAATGAAAAACTCGATCTCTATGCGATTTGACCTGAAATTTTTTTCGATATATGGAACTATATTATAATTATCAACAATTTCATCTTGATAATTATTTTCCGAATTCGAGTTATTGTTTCATCATGTAAAACTAATTAAATTACGCGTATATATAATTGTAAATTGTGCAAATGAAGCTACGTTCGGCAATTATGCGCGCTTTATTATTATTTCATTTAAGCAGATAGTACACGTACTTTTAATTCGAATTAAATTATATCCTCTCGTTACGATTCGTACTACTGTATAAAAAAAAAAGAAAAAAATAATCGCCTCTTACCCATCGATCACTCTCGCGAGTCTTCATTAAATTAATTAAACAAAAGCACCTTCAACCAACATCTCTCTCTATCTCTATACGTTACTTTGTCAAATTAGCTCGAGAGAGGAGTCGACGACGGCGTTCACGATATCTCGCTCGACGCCCGAGCACTCGTCCGTATCTCCGGAAAAATCGTCGTCTTACAACGGATCGAACGCCACCGCCGCCGCCACTGCCGCCGCTGCTCCAACTTCTAATCTTGCTGCTGCGGGGGCGGAGCAGCCGACATCGACCCAACCGACTACGACCGCCAACACCACAGTTACTCTGACAATGACGACGACGACGACGACGATGAGTCCGAACTCGACGGTGACAACGACCGTGACGAACACAGCACCACCACAACAGCAACAAGCCTGCAGCGCACTGTCGACTCGCAAGATCGCCCGCGAGAGTCTGGAATCGAAGCGCGAGCGCAAAGCGGCCAAGACCCTGGCCATCATCACCGGGGCCTTCGTCGCCTGCTGGCTGCCCTTCTTTCTCGTCGCCCTGCTGCAGGCAATGTGCTCGAGCTGTCAGCCGCCGGATCTCGTCGCCTCGGTGTTTTTGTGGCTCGGCTACTTCAACAGCACCCTCAATCCGATCATCTACACGATATTCTCGCCCGAGTTTCGGCAGGCGTTCAAGCGCATACTCCGCATAGGTAATGCGGTACCGCCGAGGCCCGGTGCCGGACGCTGAATATCTCTCCGATGTCGTGCAAAGGTTTGAGGACTTGGTATACATAAACGAATCAAAATATATAATATGTGCATATAGTTTGAACTTTGGGATATATACGTAAACCCGTTGCGACAGACGGGACTGTATTTTTTTATTTAGCTGGTGTATCGACGCGTGTACATGCGTCTCTCGTTTTCGTTGTTGGGTGTTGTAAACTTCGGTGAGATTCGTGAACTCGCTCGTTCGTGCGCGCGCCACGATGCAAATTTCAGCGACGTTACAGGAGAGAGAGTTTGTTATTTTTATTTACAATTTCGCTCGGATGAACTATGTAGTAAGAAAATTTGCATTTCTCCTTGTTCCCAAGAGGTATGTAATGCGAAGAGACCAGATCAGTATTTATTAGAGTGAAGGAGATGAGAGAGATCGAACGTGTAATCGTTCGAACGTCGAAGTTTATTGTACATATAAGCTAAAATATTACGAAAATAATAATGATAAAAATAATAAATAATAATAATTATTATAATAATAATCGGAACCTGGGCGTAAATGAAGTGTTAAGTTTCAGAGAATGAGATATGCTTAAAAAATAAATAACTAAAACATTTTTCATGTATATTAAGAAAGAGTGCCAAAAATATATAAAGTTATATATATACCGTATTTACGAACTTATTAGATTTTATACAGATTGACGATCGTTTCAACTTGTATCGAAGGATAAAGTATTTTTCATTATTTTCAGATGAGGGAGATTGACTTGTCACGGTGCACTGCAATTTTCTACGTCGCTCGATATTTATATTATGATAATTAAAATTATTGGTAAATTAGTCGAGTGTCGCGTAATGACGTGGCACGCACCACCCTCGTAACTTTTTCCGGAGCCTTGAACAAAATTTTTTTAATCCTCATTTACATTAGAAAAAAAAAGTTACATTTTTCAAAAAAAGTTCGAGCGCACACGATTTTGATTCGTTAAATTTTAATTACGATCGAAAATTTCTCGAGTGCACCTGCGGTAGGGCGGTCTCCCTTATCATCAAAATCAACGTTCTTTCAAAAACATCAAAACCTTGATTATTATAGGTTGAAGGCTGTGAAATTACTAAAAAAAAAAAAAGTAAAGTTACTAGTGAACCTTATGTTCGATCGGAACGAGAGGTGCATTTATTTGATATTAGTAAACTTTTATACGTCGGTATTTTATATCGTTATAAGTAAATAACGTTCAAGATGTTCAGATATATCCACAATATAGTATATAAATAATGTTACGCAAGCAAGCCGATTCTCTTCGTATCCCAACTGCTGCAAAAGTATAAAAATAATCCTTGAAAATGTTTCTTCCCCTAAATCAACGATTTTCATCTATCATAATGTGACCAAGAAAACTTCTACTATTCTACCATTTGTAAATAATCAAAATGTACGCAAAAACATAACACATACTTTTTCATCATATACTCATTTACTGCATTCCATTGCTAAATGTTTCAAGTAAAATATAAAAGTAAATCTTCAACTTACACGGTTACAAAAAGATTAAAACTCTAACACATATATTTTCTACAAAACTCTTGACCCATTACACTATTTCACATTTTTATATTTCTGCACGCATGAATCAGAGTAATAATAATTTCATTTGTTTATTATTTAGTTTTAATAACACAGCTTAAACGCAAGAAAAATAAATTTTACAAGAAACTTACGTCCTTTTTTGCGTAATGAACCTAAGTACCATTAACCCATTAACGTCAGGAGGGCAGGGTTTGGACATACCGAATTCGCAGTTGTTTTTAACCATGAAAATGTTGGGAGGGAAAAATAATAAAGTACCATATTCCCTGTTTTTGATATCGTTCTTTCCGGTGGTGGTGTTTATTTCTTGAGAAGCAAATTTTTTTAACCTTATTTCTGCCAGCTGAAGTTAAAAACGATATCTTCCCGCATCGGTGTCGTTATTATTTCTTGTTATCGCCACCCTTGGGTACGCTTAATCCACTTTCAACTACATAAAAAGCTTCCTCGATGTTTACTCGTTCGACTGATTTGACGCACGTTTTTATTCAAAGCAATTGTACTAATTTGTACCTGTAAATGGGTAAGCAACATTTTGTAGCACTTCGGATATTGGATTTTCGTCTATATCCAACAATGATATGTCGATGATATACACGGTTCTCGATGTTGCCTTGGTTCGTGTTAACGTGTTTGACATTTCTTTCGCTAGATTCGCTTATTCGTTAATAACTTTCCGATTGTTGCGGATTACGTAACTACGTAAAAAAATATATGAACAGTTAACGTTGTTCGATCTTTTTTTTCCCGCTTTTTTATTTTTACAAATTTATTGATCACTTTTCTATTTAAATTCGAGATTTATATTATATGCTTCCAGGCATGTAGTTTACGGCGACTTTAGAGCCACTAATCGCAAATTTGTAATCCCTTTTGTCAAAATTTGATTATTTTGTGTATAACTCCATGTAGAATCTATAATTTTCGACTGCCTTTATGAGCAGATTAATATCATCTTGTTTAATAGAATCGAACTCGAAATTAATATTTAAAACAAAAAAAGAAATCAAGTTGATTACGTTAGGTCCTGAGTTTAGTTTATTGTTTTAAGAATCCCATTATTTGAATCAAACTCCAATGAAAAATCATTGAGTTAACATAGATAAAACTTAAAGCTTAGTTGTTTAAGCTAAATATTAAGTTTCTTCGAAACAAATTAATTGAATCAATTTGATTGAATTAAAAAATGCCCAGGTTAAATAGCAGCATAGTTAGGAATTTCACAGCCACTGATGGGTGATAATTATTAAATCGCCTCGAAGTAGAATCGGCTTGCATTATAAATGAAAATAAAAATCTTAAAGGGTAAAGAACTAGTAAAGATAAAGACGAAGAAAAAGTTTTACAAAAATAATGTTGTCGAAGTGCGTGACAAAAATATGTTGGTAAAGAGCCAATTATTAGAATTGCCAGTATCAAGTTTGGCAGCAAAATTGAACTAATCGAATTTTAAAGTCATCGAATGGAGAATTTTTTTACACGGTTTCAAGTATAAAACGAAAATAAATTGACGAATTTGTTTAATTTTTTACTTTTTCTTAATAAAAATAATAATATTTATAAATAAATATTGTTTTGAAAATGCCTAACGAACACCAGCAAACGTCTACGAATTATTATTTTGTTTTGGTTTTATCTTATTAAGTTTAGATCAAGGATTAATCTTCACATGACTATGTTTTTCATTAATGTTCATGTTTACTTCTTGCTACTGCACTTGAAAGAGTCAACTGGTTATAATAATAATAACATTTATTTCTTTGTGATTCCTTAAGCGGTCTCTACTATACAAGTAAAATTAAAATCAATGTTCGATTTAAATAATATACAATTATATAAATTATGTCTTTTATATATTTTTTCGGAATTGAAAAACATTATCGAAAAATTCGAATTTTCAGTTTTGATTTTTTTAATCAATCACTAAATATATCAACAAATTTGTGCTCGGTGGCTCTAAAAACGTTGAAAACCACGTGTCTTGTACATATAATAAATTTCTCGACTTTAAATAGAAAATTATTTTATTTCTAGAGTAAATAAAGGGAAAAGAAAGTTCTTGCAGGGTTGAAGGTTCATATGTTTTTTTCGTAGATTCGGAATCTACAAGCATCGGGTAAGCCATTAACTAATAAGCGGATTTCGCGGAAAAAATGCCAAATACGTTGGCACGGAGCATTGAAACATCGAAAACCGTGTGTATTGTCCATATTATTGTTGCATAGCGACGAAAATCCAATATCCTGAAAGTTACAAAATATTGCTTGCTTTTTTACAGATACAACTTAATGCGATTGATTTGAATTAAAGGTGTGTCGAATCAGTAGAATTGGTAAACCTCCAGGAGGCCTTTTTGTAGTTGAAAGTGGACTAGACGTGCGTCAAGGATGCCAAAAATTAGAAATAATAAAGTACCGTCGCGTAAAGACATCGTTTTTTACTTTGATTGGCAAAAATAAGGTTAAAAAAATTTTCTTCCTAAAAAATAAACGGTACCCTCGGCAAGGCCGGTCTTGGAAATAGGGGATGATGGTCCTTCATTATTTTTTCCATGCTTACCATTTTTATGATCAAAAGCAACGGCGAAATTGGTATGTCCAAGGCTTTGGTAAGCACCCAGGTATTGAAAGAATGTGTTCTGACTATTTTTATCAATACTGCTCGTTTACGCGCTAAAAGTTACGTTAAACTGAAAAATCTTACGTTGGCGCGTCAAAAAAAGTTCGCAGAAAAGTACATTTTCAAAATAGTGAAAACGCATTCATCCAATCCTGGGCACTACCCAAGCCGACTTAAATCAGGTACTTAGATCCAACCTCGATGTCCAGATTTGTTTGAAATTAAATTTCAAATAGCAAACTTACTTTATAATGGTTTTTGAAGCGTTTATTATTTAAAAAAAAATCGTTCACAGCTAAATTCCTTTCTCCAAATCTCTTTATTATTGCCAAAAATTGAAAAACTTTTGTAATTCGACCGATGGGAGCAAATTTAATCTTACCACTTTTCAGACGGCGATATTTCAAATTCCCTCCAAAAAGTGATCCGGAAATTTACGCGCGTTCGCCAGACTTTCCAAAAACGTAATGAAAAACTTCTACGCGAGACTTCGAAACAGCTTACACGATCTTCCACCTAGTTTGGCCGATATTTTCCGTTACACGATATTTGCCACACGTGTTGCGCCCGCAGACATTACACACCGAGAGAGAGAGAGAGACACAAAAATACATCGTTACATCCGAAATCTATCATTACGCTTTACGTATCATCCTTTCGCGCGATCAGCTACGCGTAACTTACGCCGCGATATAAATTCCCCTGCGAAGCTCGACTGAACGTCAATCCAGCGTGAAAGGCTTTGTGTCGCGCGTCCTCCGCGCTTTCGTAGGTAGAGAGAGTGAGAGCTGCTACAGTTAAATCAAATACAAAAATGTCAAAGCGAGTGTCCGTACTCTTGAGTAACGAGCAGCGCGTCGCGTCCCGAAACTTTCGACCATGGCGCGAGCAAGAAAAATAGTCGCTGCTGCTGCTCTCTGTGCTTCCAGCAGCGCCGCTGCTGCTATTCCAAAAAGCTATACACTGATACGCGCGTCAAGTAAATCTATGGTAATTGCCTGTTACGATTTGCGAGATAATAAATAGGATTCCGGCGGGGAAAAAAGCTTCGCGCGAAATGAATTGAATTTAACGCAAAAAAAAAAATAAAAATAAAGGGCGAAAGGTATTTCGAAACAAAAGGAGAATTGCAAAAAAAAGAATCGCGCAATATTTTTTCAATTTAGAAAAATATTTTTCTTTAAAAATACTTCAAAGATAATAATACGTTTCAATGGGTATATAAAGTAACTCCTCGAATCTACATCGGGCAGCAGTAGTAGTAGTATTTTCAGCAATTACGAAATGGAAAATCGTATACGAACAAAAATTTAACCACGAGTATTAAACCGCACGTTCAAATATTTCCCTTTTTCAGTTCTCTCCTCTCCTCTCTAAGCTATATATGTGCATATGCATACACCTAGGCATGCTACAAAATTAGTGCATTACGCTTTATGCGCGCAGGGCCGAGAGAGAGGCAGCAAGATCAAACCACCTCTTTGTACACCGCATACTGTGTGTACCATTATTGGACGAGCTTAGCCTCCCCTTCCCCGAACTGTCCAATCAATATTATTATATTCATATAATGATTCTCGAATGTGGCTTAAGTACTCTCTCGCTCTCTGTGCTGCTGCTGCTGCTGCTGCTGCTGATGCTGCTACTGCTCTCCCCCCTGAATTATAAAAGTTCAATCTCGTTTTATCGCGCGTCTGCAAAGTGGTAAATTTCCTTAGATTTATTATGAAGCGGGGTAAAGCACCGTTTCTGACACTTTATACGTACACGTAACACTGAGCTATCATTCACGACACGAATTACATAATCATTATGCACTACACCATACATCGATCATCGTAGTACGAAAATACCATGTAAAATAAATGAGAAACTGTTTAGGCATTAACGATTAAAGAGATGGATTATTGTAGTAAAGTAAATAAAATATCGCATCTATGGATATAAACACTCGCATATCTCGATAAATGTATATTATATTTTGCAAATGTACAAATGTTTTACAAAAAGTAATCAAAATCGATGTTGCGTTTTATTGTATGGAAATTCCGTTGGATAAATGTTGATAGTAATGGATGTAACAAGCGAAACTGATGAATAAAATTGAATTATTATGAAATAAAAAAAGAGCAAAAGTTCGTCTAGATTTTCAAAAATAAAGTAAAAAAATTAAAAACAATGTGCAGGTCATGTACTCGCCGAGAGAGAATAATAAGTTTTCGACGAATCACGAATGAATTAAAATGGAAATTGATTGAATGCCCGGATAACTAACTAAATTGAGTCTACTACGATTTTTAAATTGTAACGCCACGCAGCTCTAAAGCCATTATAGCTGCGCTGAACGCGCCGATCATGTATACACTTTCGTTGATCCGTTACGATGAAACACACACACACACACACACACATTTCAGATGAATATATTTTTATTGTATTCTCGCCAATGCCTTATGAGTATCGAAAAAAAAAATTTCACACGTACGGAGATGAAAAAAAAAGTAAAAACAGTAAAAAAAATAAAATAGATTATTTGTGACGCGGAAAAAAAATGTTTGCCGACTGAATGCGAAAGGTGTGTGCGTTGTGTTGTTGTCACTGTTGAGTGTGTGTGAAAAAAAAAACTGTGTACGATATTATATACGAAGAATTTACGAAGTAATGAAAAAAAAAACCAGAAGTTTATAACATGTATTGCAATAGTAGTAAGGCATAGATCATGTGTTGATTGCGTTGAAATATGTGCATAACAAAAAAAAAAGTATATAAATATATATTTCATTTTGGATTAAAAA